GGAGTGCAATGGCATGATCTCAGCTCACTGCAGCCTCCATCTCCCAGGTTCAAGTGTTTCTCCTGCCTCAGCCTCCCAAGTAGCTGGGACTACAGGCGCCTGCCACCACACCTGGCTAATTTTTTGTACTTTTAGTAGAGACTAGGTTTCACCACGTTAGCCAGGGTGATCTCGATCTCCTGACCTCGTGATTCGCCCTCTTTGGCCTCCCAAAGTGCTGGGATTACAGACATGAGCCACTGCACCTGGCAAATCGAAATATTTTTATGAGAATTACAAATAGCCCTCAATGGATTATGTAGTATCAGGAATACATACATAGTTTTTATTTATTTCTTGTTAATGGATTGATTAATTTTTACTGTTTGCATAAATACTTCTAGCTTTTTCAGAAAATAGATGTTTTTCTACCCTTGGTTTGAAATTTAAAACTTATGTATTTCTCTTATTCCCAATTTTATTTTAATTTTAGACACTAAGTGTTTCCCATGATTTTTGTGGTTTTGTTTTGTTTTGGTTTTTGTCTGCCTTAAGCATAAACTTTTTTGCTTTAACTCTCTTGGATGTTTTCTACTCTTTTGATTATCTTGGGGCTTGCTGGTAAGACAGATTTATAATCATTATATTTTTCTTTCACAAATAAACTTTTCTTTTGAGAGGGAGTCTCGCACGGTTGCCCAGGCTGGTGCAATCTCTGCTCACTGCAATCTCAGCCTCCCAGGTTCAAGGGATTCTCCTGCCTCAGCCTCTGGAGTAGCTGGAATTACAGGGACCTGCCATTATGCCTGGCTAATTTTTTGTATTTTTAGTAGAGACAGGGTTTCACTATGTTGGCCAGGCTCGTCTTGAACTCCTGACCTCGTGATCTGCCTCGGCCTCCCAAAGTGCTGGGATTACAGGCGTGAGCCACCGCTCCTGGCCCACAAGTAAGCATTTAACAAAAAGTTAAATGTTTTTATGATGCAAGGAAACTGTCAAATGTATACAGAAGGAGACAGAGGAGTATGACAAACTTCACGCATGTACCCATCAGCCAGTTTCAACAATTAGGACAGTTAGGAACATATAACGTCTATCTTTCTTTTCTTTTTCTTTTTCTTTTGAGACGGGGTGTCACTCTGTTGCTTAGGCTGGAGTGCAGTGGTACCATCACAGTCACTGTAGCCTCCATCTCCTTGGCTCAGGTGATCCTCCCACCTCAGCCTCCCCAGTAGCTGGGACCGCAGGTGTGCATACCAGCATGCACAGCTAATTTTCGTAATGTATTTCTTTTTTTTTTTTCTTTGGGACGGAGTTTCGCTCTTGTTACCCAGGCTGGAGTGCAATGGCGCGATCTCGGCTCACCACAACCTCCGTCTCCTGGGTTCAGGCAATTCTCCTGCCTCAGCCTCCTGAGTAGCTGGGATTACAGGCACGCACCACCATGCCCAGCTAATTTTTTGTATTTTTTTAGTAGAGACGGGGTTTCACCATGTTGACCAGGATGGTCTCGATCTCTTGACCTCGTGATCCACCCGCCTCGGCCTCCCAAAGTGCTGGGATTACAGGCGTGAGCCACCGCGCCCGGCCTCGTAATGTGTTTCTTTTTGATAAGTGGGCAAAGCATTACTAATGAAACAATGACAGTGAAATGTGACAAGATGGTACTAATCAGAGGAGAGGATGCTACCTTGTTTAAAAATGTGAATTACAAACTTTAAAGATCTCATTTTAAACGTATAGCGTTGCTAAAACTTGGCTAACAAAGTATTGCTTAGTAGAAAGTGAGTAGAACTTATATTCAATCATGTGATTGAGCACATCCTATGGACAGTTTCAGACACCTTCAAATCATTTTTGGATACAGGCAGGGGACCAACCATGAATAAAATACTCCTTCTTATGGTCACCTGTCATTTCAAGAGGGTTAATTTTATTTTCTCAGCTAGGGATTAAACTCCTGGACAGCAGAAATTGAGTATTTTTTTTTCTTTTCTGAGATGGAGTTTCACACTTGTTCCCTGGGCTGAGGGCAGTGGTATGACCTTGGCTCACTGCAACCTCCACCTCCTGGGTTCAAGCGATTCTCCTGCCTCAGCCTCCCAAGTAGCTGGGATTACAGGCACCTGCCACTATATCTGGCTAATTTTTGTAAGTTTAGTAGAAATAGGGTTTCACCATGTTGGCCAGGCTGGTATCGAACTCCTGACCTTCAGGTGATCCACCCGCCTCCGCCTCCCGAAGTGCTGAGATTACAGGTGTGAGCCCCTGTGCCAGCCAGAAATGAAGTATTATACTTCTTTGTCTACCATCTCCTCCACCCCAATTACTTGATTGCTTTATAAGTAGCAAATAATAGTTTATTTGTTCACAGTACTTCCTAAGCATGTGGAAGTTCTTGAAAACAGTTTATGAACTTAAACTTTTCTAGCCGACATTATTAATTAAGAATTAACTTTCTGGCTGGGTGTGGTGGCTGATGGCTGTAATCCCAGTACTTTGGGAGGCCAAGGCAGGCAGATCACTTGAGCCCAGGAATTTGAGACCAGCCTGGGCAACATGGCAAGACCCTGTCTACTAAAAAAAAAAAAAAATTAGCCGGACATGGTGACCTGTGCCTGTAGTCCCAGCTACTCAAGAGGCTGAGGTGGGAGGATTGATTGATCCTAGGAGACAGAGGTTACAGTGAGCCACGATCACACCACTGCACTCCAGCCTGGGTGACGGAGGAAGACCTGGTCTCAAAAAAGAAAGAAAAAAAGAACGAGAGGTAATAAACTTTCTTCTGAAATTATTTATAAAAAGTAAACCCAACCTTGAATTTGGGACCACAAATTAAATTAGCAAAGATGTATAAAGTCCGTAAATCAGCAATAGTAGCGCCAGGATTTTGTGCTGGTCGTCTGCACAGTCCTAAACAATTTCATTCTGTCCTTATATCAACCCTTTTGAGGAAGGCTTTCTTTTTAAAAATAATCTACATTCTGCAAAGTGAATCTGAGGTTCAGGGAAGAAAATTAATTTGCCCAACATCACATAACTAGTATCACCTAGGATTTTTAGCATTGCATTTTCTGTTCGGGAAAATGGTTCCTGTATCAAAATGCAGTTTGGTAAAACCAATAAATTTAAACTGCAATGTAATTAACCTAATCATTAGCTTTTTTCTTTTTGATAATAGGCTACTGAATTCAACCAATGGAAGAATGCTCTGTTTATCCTGCAGTTTCTCCTTTCCTGCTTTTTGGGGTAAGAAACCATAAATAAGTAGAAGCATTGGTCGACAGTATCTCTTGACAAGTCAAATCAAGATGTGCCTCTGTCTATTCTGTCAGAATCCCTTTGTGTTTCTCTGACTTTCTCTGGAAAGTCACCTCCCTGCAGCAAAGGTGGTGGCAGGACCTGGGATACCTGGAAACCCAGCCCAAAAGACCAGAAGCAAACATAAAACTGTTGTTTTTGAAAGTCATGCTAATGTCCCGTTCTCCAAAATATGATGTTGCCGATTGATTTCTGAAAGTTTGTCTGAAATGAAGTCAGCTGACATTTCGAGTTCAATGCCGAGGATTTTTTTTTTTTTTTAATAAAGAGATGGGGAGCCGGGCGCGGTGGCTCAAGGCTGTAATCCCAGCACTTTGGGAGGCCGAGGCGGGTGGATCACGAGGTCAAGAGATCGAGACCATCCTGGTCAACACGGTGAAACCCCGTCTCTACTAAAGCTACAAAAAATTAGCTGGGCATGGTGGCGCGTGCCTGTAATCCCAGCTGCTCAGGAGGCTGAGGCAGGAGAATTGCCTGAACCCAGGAGGCGGAGGTTGTGGTGAGCCGAGATCGCGCCATTGCACTCCAGCCTGGGAAACAAGAGCGAAACTCCGTCTCAAAAAAAAAAAAAAAAAAAAAAAAAAAAAAAAGAGATGGGGTCTCACTGTGTTGCCCAGTCTGGACTCAAACTCCTGGGCTCAAGCAATCTTCCTGCCTTAGCCTCCTGGTTAGCTGGGACTACAGGCTCTTGCCACCATGCCTGGCAGTAATACATTTTTGTCTTTGTCACCATGTCCTTAGTTTTTCAAGATCCCTTCTTCACGTAATTGTGTGGCTATGACAGCCATTTCCTGTAGTGCTGTACCTGCTACAGTCAGGAAAATTTCCAAAGAGAGACATCCAGGCTAGTCTATTGTCCAACAGTTAGGCTTTTTTGTTCTTGAATTTTTTTTTCTTTTTTGAGACAGAGTCTTGCTCTGGCACCAGGCGCCAGGCTGGAGTGCAGTGGCGCGATCTCGGCTCACTGCAACCTCTGCCTCCTGGGTTTAAGCAATTCTCCTGCCTCAGCCTCCCAAATACCTGGGACTACAGGCGTGCAGCGCCACGCCCAGCTAATTTTTGTATTTTTTAGTAGAGATGGGCTTTCACCATGTTGGCCAGGATGGTCTCAATCTCTTGACCTTGTGATCCGCTCACCTTGGCCTCCCAAAGTGCTGGGATTGCAGGCGTGAGCCACTGCGCCTGGCCGAAATTTTCTTTTTTTTGAATTGGAATCTCGCTCTGTCACCCAGGCTGGAGTGCAGTGGCGCTATCTCGGGTCATTGCAACCTCCGCCTCCCGGGTTCAAGCAATTCTTCTGGCTCAGCCTTCTGAGTAGCTGAGATTGCAGGCACATACCACCACACTCAGCTAATTTTTTGTATTTTAGTAGAGACGGGGTTTCACCATGTTAGCCAGAATGGTCTTGATCTCCTGACCTCGTGATCCACCCACCTCGACCTCCTAAAGTGCTGGGATTATAGATGTGAGCCACCGTGTCTGACCCTGTTCTTGAAATTTTCTTTAGGTGTATCTTCTTGTTGAGAGGCCATATAGTTTGCATCTATTTCAATCTTCTGAAGACTTGAAAATCCCTTTGCATAAATAGGTGATACATGCAACCAGGAAATCATTTAAAAGGCGCGAAAGAATAAATAGGGAGGCTGAGGTGGGTGAATAACCTGAGGTCAGGAGTTTGAGACTAGCCTGGCCAACTTGGCAAAACCGCATCTCTACTAAAAGTACAAAAATTAGCTGGGCATGGTGATGCACACCTGTAGTCCTAGCTACTCGGGAGTCTGAGGCAGAAGAATCTTTTGAACCCAGGAGGTAGAGGTTGCAGGAAGCCAAGATCATGCCACTCGGCTCCAGCCTAGGTGACAGAGGAGACTCCACCTCAAAAAAAAAATAGGGAACACCAGCTCCCCTTCATTCTTCCCTACCTCCAGCACCGCCACACTTTGCATTCTGTGTAAATGAACTAAGACAACTCATGACCTCTTTGATCAACACTCTTTAATTCTCAAACTTGATTTCAATTGCAGTGATATAGTCACATGTAGTAAAAACATTTCTGTATATCTTCCATTCATTAATTCTCTCTTTAGCTGTGTCTGATTTAATGTTTAACCTGATGATGGAGTTTTTGATTTTAATGATTTTATATTTTAT